CAAATGCAAAAGAAAAAATATTTTATTTTATTTATTTTTTGTTGTTGTTGGTCGTGGGGCTTGAACTCTGGGCCTGGGTGCTGTGCCTAAGCTTTTGTGCTCAAGGCTAATGCTCTAACACGTGAGCCACAGCTCCACTTCCAGCTTTTTGATGGTTAACTGGATATAAGTCTTTGAACAGTGATCCTCAGATCTCAACCTCCTGAGTAGCTAGGATTACAGGCATGAATCACTGGCACCCAGCCACAAACAGCCTATTTGAAAGCAAAAAATTTCCATTTGTGCCCTGATGTTGGAACACACACAGAAATGTCTAGAAAATTCTACTTGCAACACAACCTGAAGTTCTGGAGACTGAGGAAGAAATTCTCAGGTTGAGGACAGAGCATAAGTCAAGGAACAGAGTCCCCCAAATAGACTGCTTCCTCTCATTTTACTGCAGCTATTTCTTGGCAATTCATCATAATTCTGTGCAACACTGAATCAGCTCTCCATTCACCATGTCCTTTTAGGATGTAGGTGAATAACTCCTCTAAAGAAGAACACTGGATTTCCTACCCTCCGTGAAGCTGAGAAATAAAAAAAGTCAACCGTGCAACCCTTGGCCAGTGGTTTGACCTTTCTGAGCCTCAAGACATTCATACATGGAGAAAACATTATAGCACTTGTCCATCTATTTTTTTCAGGGCGCTGGTAAAGAGCAACTGAACATAATGAATGTGGCCAGATATGATGATCCATGCCTGTAATCCCAGTAACACTGTGAGTTCTAGGCCAGCCTGAACTGCATATAGAGACCCTACCTCAAAAAAAAAAAAAAAGGAAGGGGGAGGAAGAGGGAGGTGGAGGGAGAGAGGAAGAGAGAGAGGTGAAACAGTTCCATAACCTCTATGACAGAATGGAGGGGTGATGGTTGGAATGATAGTGCTCCTGACAGAGGTAACTGATAGCCCAAGACCTCCTTCAGGGACCAGCCTTAAGGGAGAACAACATTATCCAAAAGATTTAGCCAAATGCTTCTTGTAGAGTCACTGCCATGATTGCCACAAATAAACAGCATAATCTCTGTCTCCTGGGAGCCAAGATGACAAAGAATATAGGCAGAGAGAAGTAACACAGCCCAGGCTCAAGTGTGACCCGTGGCAGACCGCCAGTTCCAAGCTGCTCAGAGGCTCAAAAGGGAGGCAATCATAAGACAGTCAAGGAATGCTTCCTGGAGGCTGTGAATGTAGAAGGCCAGATTTAAAAAAGGGGTGCAACCAGATGCCATTTGCTCACGCCTGTTATCCTAACTACTCAGAGGGCTGAGAGCCAAGGATCTTGGTTTAAAGCCAGCTTGGGTAGACAAATCTGCAAAACTCTTATCTCCAATTAGCCAGCAAAAAATATCTAGAAGTAGAGAAGTGGTTCAAGTGGTAGAGCACCCACCATGAATGAAAAAAGCTAATCAAGAGCACAAGGCCGTGGGCTGGGATGTAGCTCAGTGGCAAAGCGCTTGCCTAGCAAGTGCAACGTCCTGGGTTCGATCCCTAGTACCAAGAAAGAAAAGACAAAAAAAATACAGTTTAAGAGCACAAGGCCCTGAGTTCAGTATTGGCATGCATATAAAAAAAAAAAAAAAGCCAGGCACTGGTGGCTTACAACTATAATCCTAACTACTCAGGAGGCTGAGATCTGAGGATTATGGTTCAAAGCCAGCCTGGGCAGGAAAGTTCATGAGACTCTTATCTCCAATAAACCATCAGAAAACTGGAAGTAGCACTGTGGCTCAAGTGGTAGTGTGCTAGCCTTGATCTGTAAAGCTGAGGGATAGCGCCCAGGCCCAGAATTCAAGCCTCATGACTGACCAAAAAAAAAAAAAGAGGAAAAGAGTCTGACTGAGCTGGCTGTGGCAGAGGAAAAGAACCAAGCAGGAGAGAGCTGATGGGAAAAGTTCTACTTGCTATTTCTCACTCAGCCAGGCTGCTCCTGAGCCAGGGAGGAGGGAAGAAGCAGGGGCAATGCCTGAAGTCAGCACTTTGCAATGGATGTTACCATTTCAATCATGGTTGCAAAGCCTGTGTTTGCAGCTGACTATGATCTTGAGAAACAGGTCAAGATCAAGTACACCGTGAAGGCTGGCTGTGAGGACAGCCACACCGTTCAGTGCTCTGGACACAGTGCCAGCCTCTCAGATGGCACACAAGACCCAGCTGGGAGCCCCGTGCAAGCCTGACTGCGTGCTTTATCTGCGCAGACACTTTCTTGGCTTACAGAATTGTTTTGGAACAGAAACTATTCATGTGGCTCCCCACAGAGCTGCAGTGGCCTGGCAGCATCTCAGGCCACTGGGGCAGCCACAAGCCCAGCAGCAAAGAAGGAAGCCAAGAGATGACCCAAAAGGGTACTGGAGAGAGGGCTACAGGAAACTGCTGGCTGCTAGGGGACAAGAAGCCAGCTGTGGGATTAATCCTTCCAGGGGTAGCATTTGTCCCCTCCCCAACACACACTCACACACCTTTCTTCTTTCTGATGATCAGGCTTACAGCTTCTTTGTCTTTTCTCTCCTAACTGTTCAGGCAGGTATAAAGAACTCACTCAGAATCCTGATTTTGCTGGAAAAATCCACTGTCTTCTTACAGAGAGGCAGGGGGCGCTCAAAGGCCAGATGGAAAAGGTGGAAGTCATCTTTGCTTTGGCAGCTGAAAATTTAAACTTCTCTGATAAAAATGGCAGCAGCTCATTTCTGGCCTTTTTGTATTTAAAAAAAAAAGAATCAAGAGAATAAATATAGTCGAAGCATTTCATATGGATGATAACAGAATAATAAAAACTGTTGAAATTGTCTGAAGTGGAAAAGGCCAGTGGCTCATGCCTCTAATCCTAGCTACGCAGGCAGCTAAAATGGAGGATTTTGGTTCAAAGCCAGCCTGGGAATCAAAGTCCATAAGATATCATCTCTAAAATAACCAGCAAAAAGTAGGGCTGGAGGTGTGGCTCAAGTAGGAGAGCACCAGATCTGAGCAACAAGCCAAGTGAAAGTATAACCTTACCCTTCAGCCTAGCATCTCCCCACCCAGATTCAGCTGTAGCTATTGCATGGAGCCCAGACAGTCACCCACACCTCTGCCCCATACCCAAGGTTTCTTTTAGTCAGCAGCTGTCACACTCCAAAAATCACCAGGACTGGAATTTTCCTGTGAACCAGACAGAACTCCCTGGGGGGTAATCAGAATCATCCCCAGGGCTGTGGAAAAAGTGATCCAAACCCACAGCACACTCTTTACTGGTAAGCTTCTAACATCCCAACTTCAGAACTGCATCCGCGGTCCAAGTGCCCAAGCCTGAGAGAGGATTTGACTGGATGCCCCTAAGGATGCACCCAGGCCTCAGGCCTGTGTCAGTGCATCAAGGCTGTGCACAGTTACACTGCCCTGGGATGGGTTACTGACCCTTAGCCCCAAGGAAGGGGGAAAGGATTATGCTTGTGTCTTTGCTACCTACAATGAGCTCAGAACTCACAAGTCTCTCAGTACATACTGGTTGAGAGAAAATAGTATAAAATGAGGTTGGCAGAAAGTCTAACATTTAGACTCAAACCAATCAAAGCACCCAAGCAATTGTTGGGGTGGGGGGCACAGCCCTCTGAGCTGGGTATATGTCAGGATCCATCTATGTGCATAAGATGTGTTTACTTTCAAATATCATACGTCAAGCTGGGCGCCCGTGGCTCATGTCTATAATCCTGGCTGCTCAGGAAGCTGAGACGTGAGGACTGATGTTTGAAACCAGCCTGGGCTTTGAAAAGCCTATGAGACTCGCATCTCGAATTAACCGATGAAAAGCTGTAAGTGGAGGTGTGGCTGGAGTGGTGCAAGCCTTGAGAAGAAAAAGCCTCAGTACCAGCACTAAATGAACAGATAAAACCGTACTTCAGATCAGAAATGTCAACCTATAGGAGCTGTGGAAACAGCACATGGGGAATGCGGTCCTTGTACCCCTGTGGTGGTGGCTCCGTGTCCCGTTCCCCCCCCC